GTCATGGTGGAGGTGGATTATACGAAGATCATCCCTATTAAGGTTATCATGATCCTCGTACCAAGAAGGAGGTGGAGGTCATCAATTATATTATTTTGTACTTCGTATTGGTTGTTTTCAATAATTTAAAGAAATACAAATACACTAGTTAGACTCTCAGGAGAGGTATAAATCTTCTTAGAAATACAATCTTTTGACAGAAAAAGGGGGGGATCCGAGGATCGCTTAGAACCCGATTTTCTCAGGAAATGGGAGGATCATGATGATCGCTTAAGACCCCATTTCCTTAGGCATGTATCTCTTTATAAAGAGTCTAAATAAGTGGTACATTGTATTATTTTAAATCATTGAAAATAATCAATAGGATTAATTAACAAATTTATTTTACAAACCACTAGCTTACGTTAACAGAAAAAAGACATTTATGATAAATTATATGTACCTTGTGATCGTTCCAAACATCTCTTAAACGATGATTATCTTGGTCGTATAACAAAGATGTATCAATCCGTCCTTGATCAACATAATATCTTTGATTGTAAATATCAACGTCCTTCCCAACCTACGATAGCATAACAACAAAAGAAAAATTAATTAGTATATAGATTAAATAAAATCATTATAACAAAAACAAATTTTAGGTAAAATGAGTAAGTCCCGCTTGATAGTACTCAAAAGAAACCACGCCCCCACCAACGGTTTCCATTTCCCAACGCGCAAACCGCGCCTTCGAGGGGCGGTTACCACAGCCATATGCGGATCGTGGACCTGGCGTGCGGTCTGCCGTCATATCGCGCCCTCATCCATCAGTTTGCAGAAATGCCACGCGGGGGAGCAGGTTTTTGGTTGTCCTAAGGGGAACCGCCCCTTCCCCGCGTTGTTCAAATAATGGTGGTAGATTTGGAATATTTTCGGTTTCGGTGGTGTATTTGTAATTTCTTTTAAACAGTGGTAGGTATGGATTTTTTCCTTATAAAATTCCTGGAACCACGAACCATATCATATCATATTCGATTCGGTGTGGTCAGGTCCAATCATTAGTTTTTCAACTCAGTTTGGTGAAGTCTAGTCAAAGCATTGGTTTGTTCTACTGCTGTCCAGCACGGACCGACGAATTGCACACCCATAGGAGGAAGCAAGGTTGTCAAACCGGTTTATACCGTTGCGTCGGCTTAGCAAGTGGAGTCGTTCAATTGGTGGTACAACCGGTTTGTACTGGTTCATGCTCATTTAACAAAATATATATACATCTGAAGACTTTAACATCAAGTGAATATAATCATATATAAAACATATTTGAAGACAATTTCCTTACAATCCATAGTCACATTTAAATAAAATACGACATTTTAAATAAAATACAATTATTCATATATTAATACCATATTTAACGTCAATACCTAAACATTGATACTTTTTTGGAGTGTTAAACATTGATACTTGAATCTAACAAATAACATCAATATTTAACTTCTAAATTCTTAAAATTAATGACAAATAACATTCACTAAAACAACATCATTTTGCCTAGAGCTCATACACTAATGTGACAACCATCGAAGGATGGGGGATAGAATTAATGGTGAATCGATTTATCCAAATATGTAAAAAATCCATTATGCTAGATATATTTCAAACCTCAACAATATCTTAAATATATAGCATTACACCAACATAAAAATGTTTATAATTGCATACAAACAACATAAAAATCAACATTTCAACATCAAAATATTTACATTTAAATCCAACGTATGGTAATAACATCTAACATATTAAAATTCAGCCTATAACATTAACATTTAAATATATATAACTAGAATTTAAATATATATATATAATTATTTTTATGAAGATGAAATAATTTTATTAGAAACGGAAAAAGTCAAGAAACATCCACACTTACAAGGATCTAAACTTACTTTAAATATAAATATATTTTTATAAGGATGATATACATTTATGATTCGACCAAATTGTACACTTTTGATCTTCGTTTCAATTTGACGTTTGTGGCATTGAGCTACAAAAAGGGGTGGTTTTACGCTAGGTTTCTTGTGTTTCAATGTGTTTCAGAATCTAACAAGTGAAACCAACCCGGAGTCGAAAGTTGGAAGAAAATGAGCAAAGACCGGGCAAAGAGGAGGATTCAGCCGATGTTCACGGTCAAGCACGGTCGCCAGGACCGTGAACTGGAACCACAAACCGTGAATCCCGAAGCTTGCAGAGGGGTTTTTTAGGTTACTAACGTCAAGGTAGTTCACGGTCGCTAAGACCGTGAACCCAAGAAGTGAAGCGGTGCGTTTTGATCCAATTCACTGAGTTCAAGGACGCATCCTGTTGTTCACTACCATGAACTAAGGTCTAAGACCGTGAACTGATCAACGCGACCGTGAACTGAAGTCTAAGACCGTGAACTGATAAACTCGGCCGTGAATTGAACCCTATGACCATTAGCAAAGCCCGATCTGGGTACAAAAGGAGAAGGGAGCTGAAGGAGAGAGGAGAGCTTTTCTAGGGTATTTAGTTTTGAGAATAAAGGACGGTTTCTAGTGAGAGATTAGGGTTTCCTCTTTCTATTCTAGAGAGAGAAAGTGACAATCAAAGAAGGAAGAACGAGATTTGGCTTACCCTAAACTAGAGGAGTGAAGATTCTTACCTCTTAAGGGAGATTCAAACAAGGAGGAAGGAAGATTGTCATCTCTTCATGGTTCTTTATCTCCTCTTTCTTGTTTTCCTTTGCCTAGATATGGAATAGCCTACCTATTCACTTGGGTGTTGTCAACCCTAGCTTGTAACATGTGAATACTTGTATGAATTGAATGATTTGTGTGTGGTTGTGTTTAATGTTAATGTGGAGGTATTATTCATGAATGATTGTGTTGTGTTGTGTGAAAGCCTATCAATCTAAGTGCCATTCTAACCTAGGTAGAGAGAAAACCCCCTTCCTTGGGCAATTTATTGCCTCCTAGTTAGGTCAACGTAGGGGAAACCTCCTAGTTTGTATTAGCACCTAGGGTTTGGTTGTGGGTGGTTGTCCGAACTTCGATTCGAGGGTGAAGTCTAACCAATCCTTAGTCAATAGGTTGAGAGAGTCGCATTAGTGGCTTGGATCGTTTCCCTTTCATCTACCTAGAGACTAAGAGGATAGCTTTGGCTACTTGTTAGACTTCCTTGTTGTTTACAACCCCCTCACCAGACACGGTCATTTGATCCATCAAGTCGTAATTGCTACCCAGGGGGAGCAACACCCGTGTGAACTCTTCTCTCATTTGGACAACCTCGGTTTACTTTATTTGCTTTGTTTCATTTGTAGTTTTCTTAGTTTTAAATCCGAAACTGTTTTGCTAGATAACAACTTAAGCGATTAAAATAGGGGTACATGGACCTGCCCGGGTTGGACAATTAAATACTTGCACTATACTGCACCCGGCTAGAGTTTAAAAACTTGGGCTCTAGTCAGGATTAATTCACGGTGTAGCTTCGTGCGAGCAATCTACCTTTAGTGATTTCGGGACTATTTAAAGGATTTAAACTTGTAAGTTTAAGGTAAGTGATATTAGTTTAAATATAAATATTAAGGTAGTCAACTTTCAAAGATAAATAATCCATTTCCATCTACATACATCTTGAATATGAGAAATGTCGAAATATTATATCAATCGCATCATATTGAAATCAATCTTTAATTTTCATGCAGTATTGTAGCCAGTAAATATTCATTGTGGTCCAAATATTAACTACAATATAACAGATTGTAGGACAGTAATAAGTCATTTCGAATGAGATTTTGTGTGTGGTCTGTGTTATTTGGTTCATAGTATCATGTTTAATTGAAAAAAAAAATAGATGTTGTATTTAGGATGTAGTACTTTTAGCAAGCTTGTCAATTTGGTTTGGCTCGTTAATTCGGTTGAACAAGTCAGTTAATGGTTAATGATCGGATCATTTTAGCCTGGCTTAGTCCAGATGTTAAAAAATATATACAAGTATTGCAGGGATTTATAACTAATGATTGAAATATAATTTATTTACAAGTACCATATGATAATTTAGCATTAACCTTACAAGTACCATATGGTTATTTACAATATGACTGAAAAATCCCTAGAAATACCCACTAACTCTCACGGCTCACCACACACCTAAACATTAAACTTATCCTTTCTTCTCTGCTTAGTCCTTACAGTTGCCGACTGAAAAAAACTCCCTCATTCTAATAAAAATCTATTTTTTTTCCTTCGCTTGAAAAAGCTTCTCTCACTGGTCGCTACTCCCGGCTCTTCCACTCAATAGTCAATATCATTCCCCCACCCCCAAACAAAGCCCGAAAGGCGTTCCAAAGTCGACGATCTCCCGCCGCCCGACCTACTTCCCCTAGAACGATAGAAGACCACCACATCGTTTCACTCCACCTTGATCCTCAGTCCCGTCGCCTCCCATCGTCGGCCACCACTCCAGAGAGTCCTCTACGCGGTTCTCTGGCTCGCTCAAGCGCGAATCTGGGAAGATCTCTTTCACGATGCGCTAGAGAGAACGGGCACCGGAAATGGAAAACGCAAATGATGACGTCAAAATCCCAACCCCGCGTCTGCTTAGGCCAGGTAACTTCCTGGTGCTCTGGGTTTTGACCGCGTCGAAGCCGGTTTGAGCATTCCAGGATGTGCATTGAGAACATTGAGTTTGAGAACACCACAAATGTGTTGATGGAGAAATAACTAAGGGTGTGCTAGTATTTTACAAATAGTGTGTTCTTGTATATTGGTTTCAATTCTATCGTCTCTATGTTCCTATGGATCTAAAAATGCTCTTTAACTTTTCAGCCCATTTTTACCACTTCACCTATGTGCTTTTACGTGGGATCCATCCATATCTTCTTCCCCAAAAATATTTTCTTCTCTTCTTGCTGAAACGCATAGTAGCCGATAGATAAGTATGAAGGCTGATTCGGAATAAGTAGGTATCCACTATAAAATAGAGGGTCAAATATATCTAGCAAGTAACCAGGATCGTATTCATTTAAGGCCTTTCAAATTTCACTACTCAAGTATTATAGGATTTTTCTTGGATTTGACATCGGGTTGAGGTACCCAACTTTGAGGTTGAGGTGCCCCTCGAGTTGCTTGGTAAAGTAAAGAGTTCATAAAATAAAACTACACTAAGACTAGAAAAGAGTAACCTCCATATAAACTTGTCCCTCTAGTCAAAGGGGTCTAATTATGGCTGTTTTTCTAGTATAAAAAGTAGGGTAGAAAATCCTTCAGCCAAATCCTTTATGTTTATCTCCAGCTTAACCACAAAGTATAGCATATTCTCTCGAATCTGGATTGAGATGACACACTCCAAAAATGGCGGTATCGACACCAAGTTTTGGCTCGTCCCTCTTGAAATCTACACCAATTTACGGGCTTCACCAAAGTCCATTTCTGACCTATAGCAGCTGGGCTTTGATGTCTCCCATTAGGATACTTTGGCCTAAGAACACATGGAAAATACCAGAGATGCAATCCTATGAGCTACTAAACGCACATTTGAATGATTAGCAAGCATTTCCAATCAATTAAGCTACTAAAGATATGAAAACTATGCAAAACCTAGCATAAAAGAAGAGTATAAAATAACACTTTTTTCTGTGTCAGCAGCGTGGCTTGGGCGGACATGTGTTGTTAGCTCTTGGTATCCTTTACCAGGGTGTGTCCGATCCCTACATCAAAGAATTGCTTACTGGTAGAGATGTTATTTTCGTTGTGGCCTCAAGAAGTGTGTATCGTCTTATTTGAGAGGCTGATTCTAAAGTAGTGATCCGTCAACTTAGCCAAGTGTGGTGGTGGTGGATTCGCTTGGAGGTCCTATGCTTAGGAGTATATTCAGCTAGTCGAGTATTATTCTTATTATATAGTATTTAGGGCGATTTCACGAACTACCAAATAAACTCCACATAGAGTGGCACGTAAAGCCCTGTTGTTCTCCACTTTTGAGCCAATTTCATTTGCTTTTGTAGGATGTCTTGACTAAAATATTTCCATGGGGTTATTGAGTAGCGGTTTATTTCTAACTTTTCTCTCTGCTAGACTAACTCAAACTCTAAAAGCTATTTTTAGCTTTCCAAACTCTCAACAATGCATTTTTAGCTTCACAAAACACATTTTTACTCCAAACCTACTAGAAGCCAAATTTAGCTTTTCACAATCCGTCAACCAATCATAGATTTAAAACAAAATTTAAAAATAATAATAAAGGCGAAACCCGTCGATGGGGTCCACCTCCTCCCTCACATATTTTGGCTGCTAGTCAATTGGGAAGCCATATATGGCTTTTGGTTTGCCATTACCCATTTTTAGGGAAGCTAAAATGTGGTGGGTTGGAGTGAAATAAAAAGCTATAAAGTGTTTATAGCTTTTTAGCTCACTAGGTTAGAGTTGGTCTTATTACTTGGAAAAGAAAGATGGTGTGTCTTCTTAACTTATATTATGACCGTTGTGGAAAAAGTTTTTGCTACGTCGGAAAAAGAAAAAAAAATTCACAATTTTCCTTGACATTTTTATCATTTTTAAGTTATTAATTAAATTAAAATAAAACAACATGTATATCAATCATCATGACAAAGATTTGAGCATGTGACCTATGAGCTCAAACTATCATAGTTTCATTTTTAATTTATTAATTAAATTAAAATAAAGCAACATGTATATCAATCATCATGACAAAGATTTGATTCTGTGACCTATGAGCTCAAACTATCATAGTTTCAAGTGTGCAACCAATTGGATAAAGTATATTTGATGTTATTAATCACAACAAAACATGTATATCAATCATCATAGCTAAAATTTAATCATGCAACTTAGGAGCTCAAATTGTAAACATTTTAGTTGTTTAACCAAATAAAATATATTTGATGCAATTAATCACAAAAAATTAATAATATGTTATAAGAAAATGCACAACACATAACATTATATTTTTATTTAATGGTTGACTTATGTAACTTACACAACAAAAATTATCATAGATAAAATTTTGTATTCTATTTTTTAGCAGTGATAGAAAGTCATTAACAACTACAAATAACATAGTTTTAATTTGTAGTTTATAATATGTTTGATAATTTTTTTATAATTTTTAAAAATAAAAAAACTGAAAAAACATGAATTTAGTTGGTCGATTACACAATTCTAAACTTTTACATAATTTGATATGCGATTTTCTTTTAAAATTGAAAAATGGAAAAACAAAGAATAACCTTCTTTCATAGTCTAGGATACGAAGAATTTAACATTTTCTTTTGTACAAACTACTATAAATATGTGAACCAACATAGTTGTGTTGTAAGTTGTTAGTAAAGAGTTATATAAATATCCGAACCAATATAGTTAGGCTGAAGTGGGGCATTGCCAAGGTGGGAGTAGTCGTCATCGCCACCTTCAAGGCATTGAAGGCGGCCTCAGCTTCATTCGACCACTTGAACGCGCCCTTTTTCAGTAGTTTCATCAAGGGCTTGGCTATCGTACTATACCCTCGCACAAACTTCAGATAATAACCTGTACCTCCAAGGATCTCGTAGTGCGGTGATAGTTATAGGAACCGGCCATTTGAGCATGGCTCATATCTTGCTCGCATCCACCTTCACGCCTTTGTCATAAATTATATGACCCAAATATTCTACCTCTTTCCTTTCGAAGGAGCACTTCGACGAATTAAGGTAACACTGATTTTGCCGGATGATCTCGAACACCTCCCGTAAATGAGTCACGTGTGATGACAAGTCCTTGCTGTAAATGGCCTAAAAAATATCGTTAATGGCCGCCTGAAAGGTCGTCGGGACATTACAAATTCCAAACGACATTACCAGGTACTCGTAATGGGCATTATGCGTTCATAATGCAGTTTTGTGAACATCCTCCTCTGCCATTTGAATTTGATGGTACCCCGCTCGTAGATCTAATTTCGTGAAGTATCGGGCCCCATATAATTCGTCAAGCATGTCGTCCACCGTAGATATCAAAAAGCGATCCTCAACTGTAGCATCGTTGAGGGCCTGGTAGTCCATAGCAAAAACCTCCATGTTCCCCGTCTTTGTTCTTTACTAAAAGCACCGGAGATAAGAAGGGGCTCATACTCGTTCATAAGGCCAGTTCTTGACATCTCCTCCACCTGTTTCTCGATCTCGACCTTCTGGTAGTGCGCGTATCGATAGGGGCGGACATTGATGACCTCATGTCCTTCCTTGACTTGAATCTTTTGATCTACTTTCCGTGACGGCGGTAGGGTTGCGGGTTTCGTAAACAAGTCTGCATAACCTGCTAGAATTCCTTGATCTCCGTGGGTGGTTCTTCCTCTTGCCTTTCGCCGATCGTGGCCTGCCGGTGCAAGCCTTGGAAGACACGTTCGCCTCCCATGTCATGGTTATTCAGCGTCATCCTTCGCCAATCGCACGTCACTAGTCCAACCGTCCATAGCCACTGGACTCCCAAAACCACGTCGAGACCCTTCAAGGGCAATCCGAGCAATGTCACTGCCAATGTATGTCCTTGCAATGTTATCGGAACAGACTGGAACATGCGAGAACAACCCTGGGGCGCGCCGTTCGCAACACTAGCCGTGAATGGCTTGATCTCTTGCTCTTTCAACCCTAGCGCCAACGTCAGGTCCTTGTCGATGAAATTGTGCGAGGATCCGTTGAAAACCATGACCATAACGTCGACAGCAAGCAACCTAGCAGCGAAGCGCATCGTGGGCATCACGGTCACTCCCGCTAAGGCATGCAACGATATCTCTGCTTCGAATGTCTTGTTGAAGCTTCCCGGATCCCTCTGCCACGGTGGCGATTTCGTTTGGCTTCGGTCGTTGCCGCTCCTCATGCTTGAGCAACTTTTCGTGGTTTCTCTTGACCGTCAGGTATGATGAGCTCTTAACCAGGCTCTGATACCAATTGTTACATAGATTTCTTCACATAATGTTGCCGTAGGGTTTCGTAGAGAGTAAGAACGAAGAGAAAGATATAAAAATAAGATACTTTGGGTTTTACATCATAATAATCCTCTTATTACTCATAACCGAATATTTATTTATAACAAAACATAACCAAATCCGAAAGTAACAAGGAATACTAATTAAGCAAAAAAACGACAAAGCGGACAAGGAAACCATAAGTCAAAGAAACTGGAGATTGGGCTTGATCTGTCGCACCGAGCGTCGAGTCTCAGCTGGGCTTCCGTAACATCTACCATACCTATAAACAAAATCACCGCAAATAACATAAATATATGTATATCCTAAAAAATTATAAATCATAGTAAAATCACTCAATAAAAACGCACTCAATTACACATTTATGGGTTGTTGTGCTTGTCTATTAGTTGGTAGCTAGAGATGTATATAATACTAGTTTACGTAGCATGTTGCAAAATAGTGTTACAATTTCAGAGAAGAAGAGAAGACACACTAAAAAGCTCTATAGCTTATACGCCCCTCTCTTTGTAAGTATTTCATCACTTGTAGGTTGTACTACGAGGGTACTAGTTAAATAAGTTAGTCTTCTTATTATCTTACTGTGTATTCCGGAATAATTATTTCATAACACATTATCAGCGTGAATTGCTCTAATCTCTCTAGATCATGTCGATCAGAGGTAACTCCGAAAATGAAAGATTTTTACGTACTATAGATCATGTCAATCTTACACAATCTTTCTAGATCCTGTCAATCTTACACATATTCAAAAGTGGTAATTGGTTTGTCTATGTAACATCCTCTTGATCATAAGCAAATCCGAAAGCCAACCTCCTCAGTGGTATAGTAGTCCGTGGTCATCGTAAGATTCCAAACTATTACTCAACGGTATTCAGGTGATTTTCCTAAGCCTATTTTATTTAGTAAGCCTGGTTCTTAGATCTGTCCAGTACGTTGCCATGAAAATGAAAATGTTATCATATTATTATAGCGTTAAATATCCATGACTATGATGTACGTTGCATGCATATTTAATTTTTTCCCCCTTTTGTTATAAAGAAGGAAATATATAATAAATAAACTGTTATAATAATATTATATCTTGTGACTAGGGGTAGGCAACGGGAAACGGGTATTTGGGTATACCGTCCCATTTTTTAAGGGTTACGGGTACCTATATTACGCGTAATATTTTAAACGGATGGGACTTGGGATTGTACAGTCGTAATATGGATACTCGCGGGTTACCCGCAAATACCCATTTAGGTAATATGGGTACCCGTTGTACCCATACAAATTACAAAGACAGATTTAATTCAGCCCATGCGCCCAAGCCCAGCCCAATTTCAAAACCCATTTTCGGCCCTTACCCAAAAGAGACTGAGACCGTGAGAATTGAGACGCACCCCTAGCAGCAGAAGCGACGCGCAGCTTCTCTTGTCCCTGGCTGGAGGAGTCGTCTTCGGGACGAGAGAGAAGAGACGAAACCTAGCTCGCCTCAGCGCCTCCTTCATTCACCGCCGCCGCCGCCTCTGAGCTCTCCCTCTCAGTCCCTCTCCTCTGCGCAGCCGCCGCCTCCATTCCACTCCGCGACCGTCGAGGCGTAGACCAGCAGCGGAGCAGCAGTAGCAGGCTTCCTTCTTCTCACCCGGCGGCCAGCGGCAGCAGTCAGGCTTCCTTCTGCCTGATCATTCTTCAGTCTGATGAGAAGAACCTGGTAAGTAAGCTATGTACTTTGTTTTACCTGCATTTGGTTGGATGTGTACAGAATGTCCATCTTCTATGTACTTCTTCAGTCTGCAATTGATGAGAAGAAGCTGGTAAGGGTCGTTATTGACTAATTGACTAAGGGCAATGGATGTGTACAGAATTGTGTTTTGAAATGAATGCTTTGGGATGTAATTGACTAATTGCCTTTAGCTAAAATGTCATTTAAACTTTGGGTATTTATGGGTAGTATGGGTACCCATTATCCGTCCCGTACGGGTAATGGGTACCTGTTTTCCATATGGGTTTGGGATATGGGATGGACTTTGGTCTCCAAATGGGACTGGGTACCCGTTTAAAACGGGACGGGCATCCCGTCCCGTCCCGTTGCCCACCCCTACTTGTGACCAGAGAGGTTCAGAACTTGTTATATGAATTATACTCTTATATTTGATATTTCCCTTTAGATTGTAGGCAGGTGACAATAGTGTTTTCATAGACATATATACATACCATAATTAATATATGTATGCACTGTATATATGGGGAGTTCTACGGTACTTAGGGTAAAATCTGGGGTACCGCATATTTTGAGCAAGAAAACGCTATCTAGAACTTGAATTGACTGATCTTTCGGACATGATACTATACACTAATTCTTAAAGATCAAAATCTAGGTATTAATTCTCTAAATCTTTTACTCCAAGATCAATTTAATTAGAAGCAATAATCGATAGTTATGATTCGTCCAAATATAGGCAAAAAAAATCAATGCACCATCTTAGAGTTTATAGTTTATGATTTAGATAATTAGGACATAGGGTTCACTTATTAAGGGTTAGGATATAGTATTATGCCCAAAAATCATGCTAATTCGAGGTCTAGATAGAATTTTTTTACTCAAGTTATGTGGTACCTCGGATTTCACCCGGGGTACCGTAGAAGGCATCATATGTATGTGTGTGTGTATATATATATATATATATATATATGGTGGCTTCTATCATGCCCCGGGTAAAATCCGGGGTATGGCGTACCTTGGGTGATCTTGACCGTACGTGTGATCTCGACGGCTGAGATTAAATTTTATTAAATGATTTATTTTTTCGGAATTTATATTAAATAAAATTACAGATCAACTCATAGAATTAGTTTTTCTTTCATTTTAGTCCATTGTAAACCAAATCGGGTTGGTTCTGTTTAGTTATTGAATTGACCCAAAATCCAACCTCCCTAAGAGAAAGGACACCTACCTTGCCCCACCCGCAGCCCTACCCCTCTCCTCCAAATCCCGACCTTGGACCTTCTCTCTTCTCCATTTTTCTGTTCGAATTGGGAATAACTCTGTTCTTCCTCCCTACTCCTGTAAATCATCCCAGCCGTCTCAGAAAATGGCAGCGATAATTGAACCACTCTGTTTCCCCCTCTTATTCTTCTTCGTTTTCCCGTTCTCGACTGTTATATTTCCCACCTGTCCTATGATTCCTCCCAATCGATTGTTTGAACCCTAAACTGGCCGAATATCGCAGGTAATCTCGGCGTCAAGCTGTGCAAGCATAAGCACCCCCATCCCTTTGAATGAAAACTAATTGTTGCTTGTATGAGTAATTCACTTGTGCAAACAGCTGGGCAGGCGGAGATGATTGCACTGGAGAAGGCAATGAAAGAGGCCATGGTTCCTTCAGGATCTGCTAGGGAGGTAAGAAAGGGATTTTGAATTGAAATTGCCGAAATTGATTTTCGAACTACAATGCTGTGATTTTGGATGGATCTCTGATATGGATGAGGTGTATTGTAGACTGATTTGGGAAGAGAGGTCTCGTTGTTTGAAGCGGAGGCTACAGCTGTGGAGTCTGTATTTCAAAAATTCTATTCCTACATTTTTTTACACTGAAACCGTGGGGTTCGAACTAAACAGAGACCTCGACAGGCCCATTCCTGCTTCTATCTTCGTGGTTAACTTTGACAAGGTAAGGGTTTTGACGAATTGTGGTGACGGTTTTATGCATTGATGATAAACCGAGTTAATGTGTATCGGAATTAGGTGCTTAAGATGTCCCTTTCCAGGATCATGTGTGTTTTTGGTCCATTCTTTCAGTAGTCTTTGACATGATCTGTTGAGGAGCTTGTTTGGTGGTTTTCTTTTTCCAGGTCAGAATGGATCCGAGGAACAAGGAAGTCGATCTTGATAGTTTCATGTTTAGCACAGTTGATAAGTTGCCTGAAGAAGATATGAAGAAACAAGAGGGTGATTACATTTATAGGGGGAGCAACTCAAGTTTGGTTGAGCTCAGACAAATATTATTTGAATGGACGATATGTGACCTCTTTCATTTTAGTCACCACGAGAAATGACTATAAGTTCCTAATTCAATTTTAGCCACATTCTTCACTAGTGATGCTTTTAATCATGTTTTGGGTTCTTCCATCTTTATTGAAAAATGGTTTAAGGGTCCACTTGATTGGGCTGGTTGTTGGACGATCCTCCAGCAAATTTCGATGGGTTACTTCGTGAAGACGTGATGGGAATAAGTTTCCCGAGGCAAGTAATCTGGCCAGTTTATCTCTATTAGTTTTTATGCGAATCTCAGAGGTGGCTGTTTCTGTTGCTGCTATTTTGGCTATCTGTCTGCAATGTGAGATTACTGTAGCGGTTCTATTTCTGTTTTGCAAACTAGCCTCTGGCTGTGTACTTGTGTTTATTCGGCTGATTTCCTAGCCTCCCTCTAATAAATAAAAAAGCACACCAAAACTTGCAATCTATCCGCCAAATAATAAACGTGTCCTTAAATCGTTACCATAAAGAGGGCATTCGTTGGAAAGGAAGAAACAAAACTAAATGCTAAAATGTTTTAGCAGAACACACTATGCGACTAGATATCCTTGAGCCCTGAATTCGCCTCTTCTGGGAAGCTGCTTTCCTGAATTAGCCTCTTCTGGGAACCTGCTTTCCTCTCTTGGGAAGCTATTTTGTACTCAAGTGTCTGAGCTTCAAACCTAGGCGCATTCTGATTTGCTTTCTTGAGCACCTTGTGTCTTATGTAATTGGTAGGCTCTTTGACTAGGTACAATGCCACCTGCATTCTTCTCAAATGATTGCATGGCTGTATGGACAAAAAATATAACGTATTAATACAATAGTTGACATAGTTTTTTTAATATGCTCGTAGAAATAAATGGGCCTAGGTAGTAGGTGATTTCTTACCCAAATATAATAGTCATCATCCCATGTTGATCCCATCATCCACACACAAACCCAGATCCCACTATCATTCCTGTTTAGAAAGATGCATTACATAAGACACAAATATTTTATTTTTCTAGTGAAATTATGACCAAATATACATTCTTACTTGTGTCGTTGTGTAGGAACTTCAGGAGTGG